GAAAACTGCTTACTCCTGGTTGGGACAGCCTGGAGTCTGTCCCAATGGCACAAGGCTCAAGACAGGCCCACACGTGGATGGGATGCCAGTGCTCTGGGGTACACACACCGTCATGTCGGCTAGACAGCATGTCTTTGACACAAGAATACTGCGGCACCCGAAGACAGAAACGTGTGTGGCTCTCTTTGTTTTTTTCAGCGTGGAAATGATGCCCGCTTGCGCCTTTACAGATCACACGCCGACGCAGCTCCCTGCTCTAATCTACATTCAATCTACTGTGTGTTCCTGCCGTGGGGCCTTTTTTTTTAGACATGAAAGTCAATCATCATAAAAACAATCCCTACCAAATCCCGGAGAAGATCGTTATTACGGCTTCTCCACCCCTTTAAAATGGATGCCAGCAAGCTCACGCAGACAATATCCTTTGGGCTGTGTAAGTAAAAAGGAAGCACATGACTGAGCATCATGACCACAGCCTACTTAAACAATCCATAATCTATTAGCATGTGTCGATGTCTTCTGAGCTGTCTGTGTACGTAGGGCAACACATGAAACAACCGCATGTGCAAGCAGGCGAAAGGTGCACTCTGCTCCGGGCCGCAGCTAAATCTGACAAAGAGTCTGTTTGACAGCTTTAAACTGCGCAGCCATTAAGCAGCTGGGGGCTTTGACCCACTAACTGCTCCTGCTTCCTTCCAGTGTGACAAATCAAACGGCACAGGAGTCGCATTTCAAAACTCGAAATGCTGCGTGACAAACCTTAAACGCGCTTCCGAGTTGTTCTCCTTTTACTGTATATTTCGGCAATAGACAGGATCAGAAGGATCATCTTTTTTCCCCCCCCGCTGAAAATCCACGTTACATATAATATTGTATATAGTATATAACATTGGTGTTTATACGGTAGGCATGAACATGTCAAGACATTCACTGAAAGACAAGCAGAGAGATGGTTCTGTCAATTCTACTCTTATTAAGACATTTTTGCTGGTCAAGATATGGCTGTACCGTGCCGAAGAGCCCTAAGAAGGTGGAAACAACTATGTCCATGGCCTTGGATAAATATACAAAAAGCATTGTTCAAGGTCTCTGGAGAGGGCTCTGTTTAGTAACACATGGGAGCTGTTCTTATATCTGATATACTTACAGTATATCCTATAACAGGCGAGCGGAGAGCCAAGCTGTATGAGCTTTTTCACTATCATTCTATACATATTTTGAACCTCAGAACAGATACATCAGCTGTTTCCTATTATATTCAACTTCCTAACCTCATTTGAAGATAGTTCCTGATGTTTGCTGTTTTCCTTTGTAATTTTAATATGCTTTGTGGTATTCCGGTATTTTAAAGACTGCTTATGCATTTCCCTTTCAAACTAGGGTAGGTGCTATTCAGGGTTTGCTCATAAGGTCCTGTATATTTTTGCGCACAGGAGAGATTGGGGGAGGGAGCATTCCGATTTCCCTATACAGTTTTTACAGCTTTTTTTTTCTTGTCTTTTTCTGGGGTTGTGTAATTCCAATTTGATTACGTAATGGAAACTTGCACCTGTTAGTTACTGAATCCAAATAACATTTTCAGTTCAATTTAAATCACTATATGCCCTTGTGCCTCATATAACTAAGGCAGTGAAAGTTAAAAGAGATTTTATTTAGTACACTTCAGCTGGTGATCTTACACTTCTTATTTAATAGTGAAGCATTCTCAGGAAATTTCATATATATTGGAACACATGGGGGTGTGCTGAGTTTAAAACACCCGTTCATACAGTACATCCTGATGGTTTTCCTTGTTTCAGAACAAAACATTGTTCACAAATACATCAAAGGTATTTTTGTCAGGGTCACAGCATATTAAATAAGAACTGTTCCAAACATTTCAGTCCTCCCCCAGAATAGAGGAAAACACTCTGGCATCTCTGTGCCCCAAGAGACCCAGTTGCTATGGTTACCTCTGCACAATCGTGCAGGCCTGTATCAATCACTTACTGAGAGCAGCATTTCAAGTCACGCAATATGGGCAAAACATTTCCACAGTCAATTGGGTCTTTATTTATCTAGTGTTACACCAGTTTCAGATGCAGACTGGGTCTTTGTAGGTTCTGTTGTGTAATGGCTCTTCTAACAGCTACCTAATTTGAGTGGTATGTTAAAATAATAGATGACTTTTTCATTCACTGTTCACGGTATGTTAGTTATATTTTTAAACATTGTATTTGACATGGGCCGTGCCTACAGGCCCTGAAACATGCTGGTATGAAGCTTTCTCTTTGCTATTCTTTGACGAATAAGTCAGACGATGTTTTTTTTTTACCCAAACTATTTTATAAACAGTCAAAAAAAACAACAACAAAGAAGACGTTTACGTCTTGGCCAGGCGGATGTCAAAAGGATGTTGGCTGTAAAAAGTAAATCAAGAGACAGCTTCACTTAAAGTCGAAATGTATCAGTATAGCAAGAGCTTTGTACAAGTAGAATTTAGAAAAAAACACCTACAACAGATTTTTGTTCAAAGCATCACAGACACCATCCCGTGTAAAACATGGTTCTTTTTACACGTGGCACGTTCTTTAATTCCTACAACTGTGATCGCATATACTGTATATCCCCGTTCCCCATGAACCTCTGAACTTTTATTTTGCCTGTTGATAACTGGCCCACCCAGTTCCTACCATGTTCTCCTCAGCCAAAACACCACGGCGGCCATGACTCACAGCCGAGAGGCTGCGTGGTGGAAAACTGGCCGTAACCCAGGGTCTGAAAGTTCATCCCATCAGCTCACCGGCCCGCTGTGCCCTTCACACACGGCTTGCTCACGGGGTCCTCTAAGCAGTTGAAAAAGGCATTGTCCCACTTCCCTAGGTATCTTTGAGCAAGCCAGGGCCCGCTGGACTCTGGCATTTAGAGAGGTCACTACACTGTGGCTCAGGATCTGCGCCTGTGGCTGGAAGGTTGCCGGTTTGTATCCCGCGGCTGGCAGAGGAATCCTACTCCACTGGGCCCCTGAGCAAGGCCCTTCACCCCAACTGCTCCAGGGGCGCTGTATAAATGGCTGACCCTGCGCTCTGACCCCCAGCTTCTCTCCCTGTCTGCGTGTCTCATGGAAAGCAAGCTGGGGAATGCGCAAAGACAAATTCCTAATGCAAGAAATTGTTTATGGCCAATAAAGTGATCTGATCTTATCTTTTGTTTTCCCGTTTTTCTCGACCACTTGGGAATTCCAGCTCTCTCTGCTATGAAGTAAGTCCTTCTGTGACTTTATCCTGAGATATCCACGCTGAGATATTACCACATAATAATACATTGCCTCCTGCAGCTCACTGAGATGAATTCCCCTGTACGGTAAGCACACAACAACACATTCGTCACGTTGTCTGGTTTTGTGCAGTAATAGGACAAGGGGCATTCTGGAGTTAACAAGACCATTTTAAAATTATATCCAACTTGCAGGAATTAGATATTTTTCCCAGTTGTTATAAACAAAGGGATTAATCATTGCTTCGTGATGTCAAGAGTTTAAAAAGTTGCCAACAAACTCTTAAAGGGTTGAATGGGCTCATCCAGCTGTTGATTTGTCTTGTTCAATTATCAATCAATCAAGAGCCAGAGAGATTCCTTGAGTCTTGCTCACAGCATAGTCCCAGAGAAAGAGACGATCAGCGAATGAATTGTATTTTTCTTTAGATTTTACCTGCTCCGTAAAAGCTGTGGCGGCTCAAGGAGCAGCTAAGAAGACTAGCCTTTTTTTTTTCAGAAACCGCCTCCATGCAAGCAGTCAGAGTGTGACTGAAAGCGAACAAACTACGGCCTTTGGCAAAGCCAACCGGAACACGTCTGTGCAAAGGAATCAACACATCGTCAGGAGTCCGAAATACCTGGACGAGCTTGCTTTTGTTCGTTTGACGCATGCGTCTTCCACACTTCACTGTTAGAACGAAACTAACATGAAGCGATATATATATATATTTTCTATTATTTTATTTCAATATTACTGTGATGGCAAATCACACACTTTGGATGAGTCAAAGGTTAATTAATTACTCACGATCAGCCCTGTCAGATATTCCTCCAGGGCTCAGCCCACAAAGCCAGGCTCTGCCTTTGATTCTGTGGCCCGTTGTTGTACCCGTGACGCCAACATGCACCAGTCTCACACAACCCTCCATCTCCAATACCACTTTCCAGGATTGTGTCATACGTGTGCCTCTGGCGTTACATTTTACCCGCTGGGTGCCAGTGCTGTTCTCTGCTGCTTAGAAAAACTGACTTTCTTTTGCGAGATGACAAAATGACAGAAATGCACTTTGAAATTTTTAAAAAGTAAAAAAAAAAGACCTTCTTTTCTCATCTCACCTCAAGCAATAGTTCACTCTCTGTGACACTGCTTCCCACTGGCAGGCTGTCTTTCCTGGAGTCTTGACTGGCTGCCTGGCTGATGTGATTTCTGGATGGCTTCTCTTGAATCGCTGTAAGAAAGATGTTTTCGGTGGTGATCACACACATGCTGCATGAAAGGCTGTGTTCAGCTGCAGTATAACGCTGCAAAACAGCACAAAAATCATGGGTGATTGCTGTCATTAATCACCAACGATCTGCCTGCTGTCGATACGTGTCGATACGTGTTGTCGTTGATACAGTGATTATTGAAAGGGACTCTCGGAATGCGATTTAACGATACAATTAGCATACTGTACCACGGGTGCTTGAATGGCTTTTATTGCTGGGAAGTGAGATTTAAAAAAAATCTTCTGTATTGACGTATGGTCAAGGTACAGTATAGTGTATCTTACGCAACTGTTGTTATGCAAAAATATGGTGGTTTTAAGTTTTTTTTAGCATGAGGAAGGCATTCTAAGAAAATCCCTTTTTGACATGCCAAATTTCCTGTGGTGTGAGACATGCACAACATCGAGGCTGACTGTGTTTCATTCTCACGACAATTTCTAAACTGCATTTAAAACCACCCTACCACAAAATGCTATTCAAAATGTATTTCTGACATCTTGTTTAGAATTTTCGCATTTCTGTACTTTTTAAAACAGTGCAATTCTTATTTAGGATCCAGTAACAACAGAATAAAAACAAGGTTTTAATTATTTAGGAAGTTATTTAAATAAAATGCAATTAAATTGTCTGGTAACCAAAATCAGTAAGTGCAAATGACTGAATGGATGCATTAAAAAGTTTAAAAGTGACTAAAATACAATAAATGCTTCTGATTTTATTATTACAGAAAGTAAAGTCTACAAATAACTTTTCAAAATAAGATACACTTAAAATATGGCATCTTAATATTGTATCATGTTTGCCTATTATTATGCATCAGAATATATTTTTCTTTTTTTAAATATTTAATGTATTGAGCGGATTGTAAAACCTTGAAGAAAAATAAAATTCGATTCTGAAATTCGATTTCAGACACTTTATGACTTGAGAAACTCAGAGTGCCCTCACCATTATAAACAATTTTTCCAATTCAGAGTATTTAACTTCTAATTGTGACCACACTCTGATTCTCATCTTTTTGTTCTTTAAAGACTTAACATCAGATCGTAATGATCAGATAAATATTTTGACAATAGTAAAGTAGAATGAATGTTTTTTATTCAGAGTTTTCTGGATTAAATCTACACAATATGGCCAGCTGGTTGCTCTTTACTTTTTATTGGGAGTCAGAGGTGGACAGTGTTAACAGGGCATGTGAAGAATCTGATTTCCTGATTGGCACAGGCCAGTAAGTAAGTATTTTGGCAGTAATGCGATCAATTAAAGCTCCACTTCACTTCAGTCCTTTCACCCTGTAATGCCCAGCCAAAACAAAAGCTGATTCTAATGTGACATTTAGTCTCTCGATGTTATTAACGAGTAGTTTGCCATCTTTTATGTGATTGTCTTCCATTCCCAACAAGGGCTTATTAAATGTGGCAAACCCCTCGGCTGTCACTGTTAATAAAACCTCCATATGTGAGCAATATGGAAGCCTGACGGAACTAATATTCTTTTACTTTCTGAAAATCACACAAAGTAATGTGCAATTTACCTGTACATCAGGCATTTTTGGTGACATTACAGACAACTAATACAAAACATCAAATATATACTGAATATTTTAAAGAACAGTTTAAAGAACAGTCCATCACAAGTTAAGAATATTAAATAAACCAGGTGCGGTTTCATAAATCTTCCTACAGCAAAAAGTATTTTGAAACTTTGCTGGCATTTAAATATTTACCTGGCTTAAAGAACTCAAGAACTCAGTTTTAACAATGTGTCTGTAAATGACGATGCATTATGTGACGATTGTTCTGAGACTCTTAATTTCTGTCTAACATTTGTATTTCATGATTCAGATGCATGCAATGGAAGTTTGCCGCTAGCCAACAGAGCCTACATTCAGAAACAAAAGAATATTCTGTGAGTTTTATGGCAGTGGTGGACAAGTGCTTGTAGAGCTCAGGTGACCCTTCGGCTCCTTACAGCCACCAGCGCTTCCTGGTGCTGTTCAGGCGTGAGAGGTGAACCGAGCGAGTGTTACAGACAAGGTATGGCTCCTCTGGAATCCAGAGGAGAACATCCGCAGGAATTGTAGGGTTTAAGGGAATGCCCTATAGCCTCAGGCTAAAAAAATTAATGCACAGAGAAGACTATGAGGAAACATGATACAAGTATTCAAGTATTCAAACTCCGCAAAGACACAGGGTTAGGGGACATGTTCAGAATGAACAAGTGGAAACCATGTGGAAGTGTGTTCGGGGTTGAGAACAGAGGCACTTCTTTACCCAAAGAGTGGTGGGAGTGTGGCGCAAGCTACCCAGCCTTGTTGTTGAAGCCGATACCCTGGCTTCTTTCAAGAAACAGCTGGATGACATCCTTGGTTCCTTGGATCAATAAGCTATTAAAACCAAATGAGAGGGATATGGGTAATCTTTGTAATCTTTCTTTTGTTCTTGGGTTCCAATGACCCAGCATTAATGGTATTACAGACAGCAGCAGAAATTAAACCATGTTCCCACAGCACAAAAGACAATGCAATTTAACTATGATACCACTCTGTCCCTTTTTTCCTTAACAAGGAATGAGCACATGGGGTACACTTTGATTACTGCGATAATCATTTGAGCTAACAGGCTCATTTGAGAACTCTGTGTCATACTGGGCTGTGAAAGGCTGCCTTTAACCATGCAGTGACCCTCACAAACCCAATAAAAAAAAACGTGTAAGCTCAAAGATATTATCCATGGAAAGAAATCTCTTCCAATTCCAGATCCAACATGGCATTTGAGAAAACCAAATATCTCCAGCTGAAACTGATTGTAATGTGCTATTTCTAAATTCTAACTTATCCCAGACTTTGTTTAACTTACTCACACACCACTTACCAATGTAAACTGGACTGACTGTATTCATCTCCACAGAACTGTTTACTTATTTTCGGCAGAAATGTTCTTCCCACCTAAGGATAGGCATTGTGTAATCACCTAGTTCTTTCCTGACTGTAAAATACACCCAAGAAGATCATTCCAACCACAAATATTATTGCTTATATACTCTTCTCAATCCAGCCTCAGTTGCTCATGACTTAGTAATCACCCTTCACACCTTATGAAAACTTTGGAGAGGATATGAATTCAGCAAATACAAATAAATGGAATGAAATGGAATCATTATTTATTAAAGGTTTGCCTTAAAAGCTTAAAGTTATTTTATTCATTTTGGTCATTTGCTTTTCACAAAAAACAGAGCAGAACTCAAACATACTGTATGCACTCGGTAAAGAGTTAGGTAGCACATCTCTGCTTCATGTAGTGCAACTAAATACACAGGAGCTGAACTTTTTCAGTCTTGAACAGGCAAGAGTACAAGGAGACCCGATACCAGTCTTTAAAATCCTTAAAGGCACTGAAAAGGTCAGCTTATGAACCAGAGGACTCAAGTGAAATCTTTATGGAAGTGCATTTAAAAGTGAGGACAGGAGGTACTTCTTTGCCCAAAGGGTGCAAAGGGTGGTGGAAGTGTGGAACAAGCTACCCAGCCGTGTGGTTGAAGCCCAAACCCTGGCTTCATTCAAGACACGTCTGGAGGAGATCCTGGGATTAATTACCTACAAACTACCAATCAAGCTAGACGAGCTGATTAGCTCCTCTCGTCTGCGGCCTTTCTTCTGTTCAGTTGACTGTTTTACAAGCGCCAGTGGCAGAGCTGGAAACCTGGCTCTCTGCTTCAGACACATATTTTCATTACTATCTAGTGCACTTATCACACTGCCCAGTGTAGTTTACTCAGTCACCATGTCCACAATTGTGCAGAAAATTTACAATGCAGTTCTAGAATATATCAGTATGACTGGCTTTAGTCCCGTTAGGCTTTAAAAAAAAAATAATGCAGAGGCTTGCCAAAGTCTTTTGGTATCTGTTTTATGAGATAAGTGGCTGTGGCATATTACTAAGGCGATCCAGAGAACATTCACATTGCTGCGATTGTTATACTGGGACTCACTTGGCATAGTCAGATGTTCAAAGAGAAGTCTGACAGAAAACAACTTAAACGCTCCTTTGGCTGAGATGTTCTTTGAGAAACAGGATTAGTAAAAGTAGAGCTGTCTTTCGAACTGGAGCGCTGCAAAACCTAGGGTTTTGTACTTTTTTGTTTTCTTGATTTATTTGCATCCTGACGTGAGCCTTTTACAATGACACGTGTAACACATAACTAGCTTTCAGATTCCAGAGCCAGATTTCAGACCATTCTGAGCATTTCCCTGAAATGTCAAGAAAGGTTTTCCAACACTACACATAACTGAATGAAAAACACAGTGTGGTGAATATGATCATTTCTTTTATTCAAGACTCAGATTACTCATTTAATATTTTCAAATTATCATTGGTATTTTTCTGTGATTATACTTTTTCTGGAGTCTGTTTAGGCAAGAGGTACATCATTGAGTCATGAGGTGTGGTCAGGCCAGCTTTCATTGTGAACTACTGCACAATCCACACTCCCAAGCCCTGCACTTATTGTGTAGTTCTTATTAGACACTCATAATGCATCACCTACGCAACATATCTCACCTGCTTCTGCTTAGAGCCTGACAAGAGGTGAGAGTGCATTTTCCCATTGAGGTTGATCTTTATTTTCAATAGCCCTGAGGTTTACTGTAGGTGTAATTAAACATTCCTATGAGATTTGAAAGTACAATTGCGCATAGAAACATTAAATTCCATCTGCTTCAGAAGTATTTATCCAGCACGGATTGAGCAACAACGGTGATTGCTTCCATGAGAGTGGAAAGTGGAGGAAGATGAAAGTAAATCAGACGAAATCCCAGTTTCCTCATTTGGCAAACAATTTCCACTTTGCGTGGGAATGAAAAGGATGATGTCCGTAAAAGGGGACAGATTCTGAATGCGAACAATGCGCCAAAATCTCGGTGAGATTTTGGATTATACCTGGAAGGTTTTGAAAAATGGAT